CCCAGGCTCTTGGGTTCGCTTGGGGGTAAAAGGGGAAAAAGAAAAAAAAAAAAAGGCCGGAGGAAGTGGAGAGTGACGTGGGAGGTGACGTGGAAAAATTTAACGTGCCACGTGAGCAAAATTTACACATTGGCATACCCACGTCAGCTGTTTCAGTTAAGTTAACGTGCCATGTGAGCAAAATTTAACGGAAGGACTAAAAAGGGGCCGGATTTGTGAACAGTAAGGACCAAAAAGGGGATTTTTTTGGTACAGGGACTAAAAAGGGACTTTTTCTTATAGTAGAGGGACCAAAAAGGGTATTTAACCAATTTTGAATAATGTATGTGATATCTTCAATTTTTATTAATAAAAATGAGATATGTAATTATTTTACAATTAAACTTCATATTTTGATTTATTTTAAAAAAAATTCTAGTAAAAAAGTAAGATGGAATTTGCAACGATTTTTAAATTTAAATAAAAACAACTTAATTCTTTTTAAAATAAGATTTTAAATTTGAATCTTATAAATAGAGATAGATATTAAAAGAGTTTTTTTCGTATAAAATCTAACTCAATCAATTTCAAATTAATTGGACAAAGAGAAGCACCAAAAAAAAAAAGAATTAAATTAAAAATACAAGTTTTTTAAATTGAAAACTACTTGAAGTGTCAACACAATAATATAGGTGTTGGCACTTTCACTACAAATCTAATTTGAAGGGCTTATTTGCACCAATTGGGGAGTTGAAAGGTTTAATTGCATGATTTTTAATTTAAAGACTTAAATGTTAATTTGAGGTAGGTCTAAGAGCTTAAGAAGGGTTTTTCTGCCAAAAATGAACCAATTAAAACTTTTTCAAACAAATCAAAATTCAAGATTTGACACCGAAGGTCCAAACTTTCCTCTCTCTTTTTTTTTTTTTTCCTTAAACTTAAAACAACAAAGGTTAAGTTTAGCTACAGATGGTCCAAGTGCTCTCGACACTTTCAAAGCAAAGTAGCCACTACACAAAGAGCTGCCATAAAGGGGGAGTCCTCGATCTCATCGAATCCTAAAAAGGTCCTTTCCTTCTTCTACTTTTCTACCCGACTTACTCACCGTTCTCCACATTGGCTCCCTCAGTCCCTCATAGGTATTCCCCTATTATCTTTCTTTCCCTCTCTATTTCTTAAGTATGTGTATGAATGTGAAAAGTTTTGGTGTCTATCTGATGTGGGTTAGTTTTCTTCTTTATTTTTCTCGAGTTCTTTTATGGGTTTTGTGAAATGTGTTTTGGGGTTGTAGTTTCTGTTTGGTATTGTGGTAGAATGCATATGTTCCTTGTGATGCTTGGTGGGGACTGGATTTGGTGAACAAAACTAGAAGATTGAAGATTAGTGTATAAAATTTAGGTTGGAATGTGTTGGGGAAGACAGCTTTCAGCATCTGTTTATTGGTGGGTTTAGCTAATTTGGTGCTTTGTTCTTAGTTAATATGTTTGATCAACTGATGTCCATTTGGGTGCTGAGAAAACTCCCAGGAAAGAAAAAGGAAGATAAAGTAGAAAGTTTAAGCCTTTTGTGTCTATGTTATAAATCTAATTTCCTATTCAGTTTTTGATTCACATTATAATAGTGAATTTTATTCTGGTTTTCCATTTTCTACAAATTGTTAAAAATTAATAATTTTTTGCTTAAATATTGCATATGCATTAAAGATCATCAAAAGTTCAAACTTTTAAGCTTAGGATGTGAAACTGTGCATGTGTTTTGAATTAGTCCTTACCCATTTTCCTGTACAGATACTTGCTTTCCTCTGTGAAAGTTAATTTATTGAGAATGGCAGTGGCAACGGCATCTAGCCTTCAAATGGCAACAGGGAGACCATGCCTATCCCCTTCAAACAGAATTGTGAAGGCAGGTGCTGCCATTCTAGGTGCCAATTCTAGATGCCTGTCATGGATGAAGCTTACAAGTACAAGCCATATATCATCTTTGCAATCTTTTCAAAGGAGTTTCACATCATCTTCTGTGAAATTTAATAAGTTTGTTCCTAAGGCTATGTCTGGATCCAGCGAAAATCAACCTGTTTCTGGGTTGCCAATTGACTTGAAAGGTCTGTCTTGCCTTTCTTAATATTAGTTCTTCTAGTTATTAGTTTATCATCTTAATTCCCCTTTACCAGATTTATAGGCTGCCATATATACCATTCTCATCCATGTGTTAGTGGAAAATAGACCTTGTTATTTACAAGAAAGAAATTCCTGATATTGGAATATATTTATAAAAGGGAGAAAAGGTTATCTTCTATCTAATATTAGGACTTATGCTTTGCATAGGTAAGAGAGCATTTATTGCTGGCATAGCCGATGACAATGGATATGGGTGGGCAATAGCAAAATCTCTTGCTGCTGCAGGTGCTGAAATCCTAGTTGGAACTTGGGTGCCTGTAAGTAATTGAGATGTTGATAGGTTTATTAAATTTATCTTCTCAGCTAGGTTTATCTGGGTCTTCTATAACATTCAATTACTGACAAGGAAGCTTCTGTTTAGGCTTTGAACATTTTTGAAACCAGCTTGCGGCGTGGGAAATTTGATGAATCACGTGTGTAAGAGCCATTTCATTATTACATGATATAGTGGATAGTTCCCAAATAATGGCCTTTGCTAATGGCAGATTTGATGTTTCAGGTTGCCAGATGGTTCTTTGATGGAAATTACTAAAGTTTATCCCCTAGATGCAGTTTATGACAGCCCTGAGGATGTACCTGAAGATGTAATGGATACATTATATAGAGTCCTGAATGATAGTGCATGCTTTAAAAATAATAATAATCTTTGAAAACATATTTGCCTATTTGCAGGTAAAAACAAATAAACGTTATGCTGGGTCTAGTAATTGGACAGTTAAGGTATGGATTGACATTTTACTGTTTATGCATTTTAGAAGTTGTATAACAACTCCTACAATCTTTAGTACTTCAAACTAGAAGGTTTACTCAAGCTTTTAACTTATTAGCATAGGAGATTTAATTGTGGTACATGATTTTCATGTTATGTTGCTCATGCATTGCAGGAAGCTGCTGAATCTGTCAAACAAGATTTTGGCACCATTGACATTCTTGTGCATTCATTGGCTAATGGACCAGAGGTAAAAATGTTATGAAATTCTTCACTTAACTTTCATGATCATTATCCTTGTGCACAACAACCATATATATTTTTTCAGGTGAGCAAACCTCTGCTAGAGACATCAAGGCATGGATATCTTGCAGCTTTGTCTGCATCAAGCTACTCCTATGTTTCTTTGCTCAAGCATTTTATTCCTATAATGAATCCAGGCATGTATATTTTTCTGTTTTAATACCAAAATGCTTATCCTTTTTTTTTTTTCCCATTTCCATTTCATCTCAAACAATTCTTGACTGCCTGAAAAAACATGTTTAGAATCTAAATTTGCTACTGCTGTTGTAGGTGGTTCCTCAATTTCTCTTACATATATTGCTTCAGAGAGAATAATTCCAGGGTATGCCTGATGTTTCCTTCCTTGCTTAAACAATCATGTTATTCTAAGTGTATTACTAACCAACAATCACAAACAATGTGATATGCAGTTATGGTGGAGGGATGAGTTCTGCTAAAGCTGCATTAGAAAGTGATACAAGAGTGAGTTATTTCCTGTGCTACGTATCTGTTTTTTACTCTTGATTACTTATCTGGTTTTTTTTTAACCAAATTTAACATGCATGTTAAGTATGTTTCAACCTAGTTCACTTGATGTCAGGTTCTTGCTTTTGAGGCAGGAAGAAAACATAAAATCAGGGTCAACACAATATCTGCTGGTAGGTTTTACCCTTCATTTTCTTGACTAATATTCACTTTCCAAGAATTCTCATCAATCCTTGAACTAGATCATGTAATCCCGATAGGGTGCAATTTTATTTGAAAGTTTGATTTTTGATGTTCATGGTTTCTGTTCTATTGCAAATGCATCTCCTACTGAAATACAGGATTACCCTCTTCTCATTTTCTTTGACTGACAGGTCCTCTAAGAAGTCGTGCTGCAAAAGCAATTGGATTTATTGACATGATGATTGATTATTCATTGGCAAATGCACCCCTCCAGAAAGAACTATCTGCTGGTGATGATTTACATTAGCAGCTTTATAATGTCTTGTATTTCTTCTATTCACTGTTCTTTAGTTGGTCATAATTACTGACTTAAAGAAATTCATGAAACAGAGGAGGTGGGAAACACTGCTGCATTCTTGGCATCACCTCTGGCTTCTGCCATCACTGGTGCTGTTATATATGTCGACAACGGCCTGAATGCAATGGGTGTCGGAGTTGACAGTCCGATATTCACAGACCTCAACATACCAGGCGAAAAGCACTAAAATTAGCCACATGGAGATCAATATAGAATGAATAAAAACGCTTAGCATTTGGCTCTGTATTTTCTTCTAGGGATAATTTGATCAGTTGCTTAAGAAATCTTGTCTTTTTTACCATTAAATTTTTGGACTTTTAGGTAGAGACTCTGCAAGTTTCTAGCATGTCTGAATTTGAACTTTAAAATTTTTATGAAACAAATCTGAGATTGATCATTGTTGAACCTGTATGAACTGCATCACCAAATATTGTTCCAGGAGTTGCATGCATTTCATCTACTTTTGGATATCAAATGGTGAAAGTACTTACGATTTGGTGTACTTTTCTAAAACAAGGTGTAGCAGTTCCAAGTTGGTAATTTAGACATAAAAATAGCAGTTCCAAGATCTGCGAGGGACGTAGTAACCAAATTCATTAAGTACATTAACTCATACAATATTTACTACGGTTAGTGGGAGAAAGACAAACAATCTTGCAGCGTGTAAAAACAGATGGTAGATGGTTGATAATTAATATGCTATGATAACCTAACAAAACTAGCAGCTTTGGGTTTTCCTACACTTTTTACAGTTTTCATTGTTCACCACGGAATGCAAAATGGTAATGAATGGAATCTTCAAGAATTTTATCAATTAAGCTTACGCCTGCACCTCCGGATGCCTAAGCTTTGCGTAGCATCATCAATTTCAGGTGAATCTTCTACAACAGTATCTTCTTCAGGGAGGTCCGTATTCCCAGGTGATTTCCTGATTGGTGTTTTAGGCAATCGTTGTGAGTGGTCTGATTGAGTTTGGGAAGCAATTGCCTCAGAAACTTCCCTGTGTGGCATCACCTCCTCACCCAAAGGCACAACATCAGACATGATCTGAAATGAAAGCCATTTTTTGCAGAATTTGAATGAGTAGGAAAAAAAATAAAGCAGTCCTTAAAATGCCATAACAGTTTATTGTTACCTACTAGGGCCATTTTGCCATGAACCACAATAAAAACCAAAGGCAACCCTACTTTATTACTTTATCTCATAGCTAGTAGTCTTACCTTCCAATCCTTGAAGTCAAGTCGAAATACAAAATGACTGTAAGCTGCCTCACCCGACATCACAGAGCGTGCAGCTGGAGCATTCTTGGGTGCTGAAACATAAAATCATACTTGCACCAACATCACCACAAATGTGACAGAGAAACATACAATTTAAGAAAATTCAATGTTGATTCATGATTGTCTTGAAATATACTTACAAACAAAATGACAACCGGATTCATCCACACTCATTTCAGCCCGTCCATCTTTGACTAAAAATGACAGAGCAAATAGATTCTCCACAGTCTGCGCAAAAGACTCTCTGTTCAGTATCAGATTTTCAAGTTTCACCTGCTTCTTTCTCCTCAAGACCCCAAACATTATAGCCATATTTTTGTCAGTATCTGTTTTCTCATCAGCACTGGCATCATTTATCTGTCATAAAGAAGCCATGACACTATTTGAGCAGATTATTGTAGGAGAATTATGAATAGAACAACTTTCCAAAAATTTTGTGATTGCCTTCTAACATTTACGAATCATTAGATTTTCAAATTCACATGACACCATAACACAAACTCAACAAAGAAAGCATCAATTCCAACTTTTGGGAGATAGGAAACAACAGGAACTTGAGAGCAAAACCTAATGATCATGATTCTATCAGTAGCATCAGAGCTATTGACATATCTAAGACAGTCTATATTATCAGTGAATCCACTTAGTTGCCAAGAAATACTAAATATAAGTAAGGATAAAATCACCTCTTCAGGCTGAGCTGTCTGAGTTGGCCTTGCAGCACGCTTTCTTTGAACCACAGGTTTTCTTAACTTTATCTCAGTGTTCATGGGTCCAAGCCTAAAGCAAATACAACAACAAAAACCCAGAAAGTATATAGTAACTTAATCAAGAATCAACAATAATAGCACATTGGTACTTGCAAAACTATCAAATGGGTATTTAGAAAAGCTTACATTGTGCAAACCCCCTTGCACATTCTCAGTATAGGGGAAACTTGCAGCCCTAGATCTTGCCAATTAATTGATACCAGTTCATTCTCCTCAGAGGCTAATGTCATACTGGATTTTCCAAAATCTGTAATCATACAAGTGATGAATTCTGCCAAACTAATTCCCTGGTTGGACTGTGACTTAACCGATGTCACCAGTGTATTAGTAATGTCTAAAAGCGCAGATGCATCCGCAACTTGTTCCCTTGGCTTGTTCACTGAAACCCCCAAACAACATACAAATTTTAACAAACATAATTCCTTTTATTTTCCCAACATAAAATTCTCTCCAAATTGACATAGAAATAAGCAGGAACTTCTTCAAACAGATATTGCATTTTCTGCTATAAATTTTAGCTCCCTAAATTAGGTTGCTAGAAGTAAAAAAATCAACACATAAAATCTACTGAAATAATGTAGAAATTAATTTCAAATATAATTTAGGAAAATATATAGAAAAATACCATATTGATGTAAATTCTCCACTTCGTTGATGATAGTGTTAAACTTATCCGAATCCGCACTAGAGATATCATCCTTTATATCTGCGTATTTATTTAAAAAAAAAAAAAAAAAAAACACACACACACACACACACACACACAAAAATGAAAAATCGAGCAAATAGTGAATATCGATAAACAGGATTCGATCGAGAGGGAGAGATACCGTTGATTTTGTTAATAACTTGAAGGTATTTGGATCTGAGAAGTCTCCGCTCCACATCGTTCTGTTGACTCGACGCCGACTGGCTTTCAGCTTCGTTTCTTCTAATCTCTGCGCCGTTGTCTGGCGGTTCTACTTTCGCCATTTTCCGGGAAGGTCTGCCGCTTTGAGCCAAAATTTTCCTCATAACTTTAAGCTTCTTTTTTCCCCGGAAAATGACGGAGAGAAAGCTAAAAGAGGGAATTTAATTCAGAGAAAATGAGAAATCCGGCGAAAGTTCGGTGAAATGAAGAGGGAAGCTGTGATTCTGAATTTTGATTTTAAATTTGGGAAAAGCTGTTAAGGGTTTTTAAATTTATTTTGAAGTCTTCCTAAAGTAAACAAATTTGATTCGTCGGTCCCTCCGCCCACTAAAATTTTTTTTTTTTTTTATTCTTTGGGAAAGGCGGTTACATTCCCGCCTGGTAAAATTTGCACCAAATTTACCCGGATTTTGTAGCGAAACTTCTTTGAAACTTTTGAAATTTTATTGGGATTCAAATGGTTCAGCTTAATTTAATTGAATGAAGTATTCTTCCCTCCTTTTTGTTTCATAACCTTTACATTTAATAGACTCTTAAGGCCTGTTTAGTTTCCTTATTTTTGTAGAAAATAGCTAAATTTAAAATGGTTGTTGATATTTTATCATTAAAATAAAAAAATAATTTTCTCACATTTATTGTTTTATTCAATTTTCATTGTTATAACTTGAACTCATGATCTCATTTTCACATAAATTAAATGATACTTGTACCTCCATTGTAGGGCTATTAATGAATAATTTAAGTTGAATATGATGTTAAAGTACTTAACTTTAAATTAATTGAATTCAAATTGAAGGGAATTTTTAACAAACTCATAAAAATCAGAGTACTATCTTAATTTATCTAGTGTACGATAAAATTGAGCTCAACCCATCTTATATCAAATTACTCACCATAAACTTACAGGTTGAGTATCTAAATATTTGAACTCAATATGATTATTAAATTTAAAGTTTGGCTACAAAATGACTTGTTTGTCAAGCATGTTGGAGTAGAGTTGAACTCAAATTGAATAACTTGCCAGCTAATCCATCACTAAACACCTCTATTCCATATATGTCAATGAGATAAGTACATAATCTAACTTTATTATTATTATTATTTTTTAGATAAATTTAAATTCATAGCACCTGGGCCTAGAGACCTACTGGCATTAGCCAGCTTGCTAGGTGCATTCCTCCCTCCCCTGGGCGGGTTTCGAACCCGTCCCGTGTCAAAATGTTCAAAAAAAAAAAAAATCATAAACGTATATCATTTTAAAAAAGTGTTATGCAATTTGAATTATATTAAACTGCATAATATTTATCATTAAATGAGAGATGACTTTGATATTAGAGGTCTTCTTACTATTCAATGGCTCCCATTTTACAATTAAGTACAATTTAAATTATAAAACAAAAATCTCATATCATTTACTAATTGAGATATAAATTATATATAAATTATAGTATGTGTTGAATTTTGCCATTATTCTCTCCCAACAGCAACTTTGAGGCCTATTTGCTTAGGCACTAACTTTGTTGAAAAAATGTTTATTTATAAAAAGCAAGTGTGAAAATACTATACAAAAAGTAAATAAATTTTATAGTGAAAATTTATTAAAAGTGAGTCTTACTTTTAAAAGGTTAAAAGAAAATTTTTTTTCTTTAAAAATTTAAGAAGAAAAAATTTTTAATAGAAAAATGAAAATTTTGGCTAGAAAATAAATATTAAAAATATTATTTTTAATAACAATGAATAAAGGAGGACTGCTAAAAATATTAACTTTACCTTCTTTTTTATTTTTTTCCTTATGAAGCAACGTTATTTTAATTTTTTTTTCTCTTACTTTTTAAGAACCAAATTGGTGAACACTTTTCTCATTTTTTATAACATTAATATCCGAAAGGATTAAATTCAATAAATAATCTATTAACTATGTGATTTATTTTAGTTTAGTCTAAAAATAATTTTTTCTTTTAAAATGATCTATAAACTATCAATTTGGTTTCAAAATGATTTATTTGAC